GATGGGGCTCACCCCCCCCCATGCACCCTGGGGCTGTACGCGATGGTACCGATGCAGCCTCCCCCCTCCTCGTCCCCAAATTCCCGGGGGTGTCACCTGGAGGGCGGCGTTGTCGAAGACGTCCATCTGGATGTCCTGCGTGGAGCTGTAAGGGGTACGGGCCATGCCGCCTTCCCGCACCATGGAGCTCGCCGGGGTTCGGCGGGTTTTGGGGTTGGGGGACGGACACACAGACACAGAAGGACAAGACGATGACGATGACGATGGAGCCCAGGCCTGGCCTCCGCCGTACCGGCCCCCGCGGTGACGGTGGCCTCGGCGTGTAGCGAGCGAGAAGAGGAGGAGGAGGAGGAGGAGGAGGAGGAGAAGGAGGAAGGAGGAGTGGGGATGGCGGCAGCGGGGGGACGAGGGATGGCGGGCGGCCGCCTCCGCCTCGGCCGCTCCCACCGCGTTCCCTGGGTGGGATGGGGGATGCAGCCCCCTCCCCGCTCCCTTTCCAGGTAGGGTACCCCCAAAGCAGCTCCTTCTCCTGGGGGAAAAAAAGGGGGGGCTGATGAGGATCCCCCCTCCCCAAATCAGGGAGCATTTAGCCTGGAGCAGACTTGCTTGCTGAGGGTGGGGGGGGGATGCCAAAAAGAGATGGGGGGGACAGAGGGCCCCCAGGCTGTTGTGTGCCTCGGTGGCGGGGGGGACGACACACAACATGCAGGGGCAGCCATGCCCCCATCCTCAAACGTCAGTGCCTGGAGTGGGATGTGCTTCGGTCTGGGGAACCCAGGGCTCCTTCCAGACAAGGCTGCCCCTAAAACTCCAGCTTCTCCCCCCTGCCACCCTCCCCAGCTGGGATCCCCACAGCCTCCGAGTGACCCACGTCCCCCCGCTCTGCTCCCCGGGGGCACGCATGCCCAGACACAGAGCCATCTGCACGCCCCGTGTGAAACATCCAGGGAAAGGGCACCCCGGACACCCCGCAGCAATGGGGGGGATGCCCAGGGCCAATGAACCCCACATGCGGTCGGGGAAGGGGCTGCACTTGGCACCCACACCAGCCCCCAGCATGGCTGCAGCCACCCTGCAGAGACCCCAGCACCGTCCCTGCCTCCTTGTGCCAGCTGGTGCGAGGGGCAGACCCCGTGTGCTGGTGGGCGAGGGCTGCAGGCAACGTGTGCCAGGCAGGACGGAGTTTTCCCTTGCCCCCTCCCCAGGGAACCTGCCGGCACCGGGATCCATCGCTTCCTCCGCAGGCAGGACCGGGCTGAGACCTCCCACACTCATCTCACGTCAACTGCACCGCAGGAGCCGCTGCTGCCGGCTGTTGGAAAGTTAAAAATTCCTT